ATGGTACAATCATCACAATAGCCTCGAGAATATCTAATCAGTAAGTGATGTCTCTATTAATCATTTCTATTGTACTCACTTCACATCATGTGTATATGTATATGTACATTATCATGTACATTAATAGTTACATTTCTCTTTGTTTTTTCCTCTCTCTTTCTCTTTAGTACAAGGATAGCAGAGCCTCCTTCAATATGGCTGGATGCTTATTTTGAGTGGCTTGATCCAACCAGTACGTGCTGTGGCCATGTGCCAGGTAGACCTGACCAACCTTGCAGCCATCCAAATGATAGTAAGACTACTATTACTACTACTACTACTATCTATTATTGCTATTATTTAAAATTAATAATAAATACACTTACATTGTAAGTGTATGTGCAATGCAGAAATATTTTAAAGTTTATTATTATTATTATTATTATTTCTCCAGCTGCTAATTCGACTTGTGTCCATTGTTTGCCGCCTGATTCTGGAAGCAATAGGCCCAATTCTTCAGCTTTCCTGGACAATCTCTTACACTTCTTGACAGCTAATCCTGACACAAATTGTGCTGCTGCTGGACACGCTGCTTACAACTCGGCAGTTGTAGTCGATTACGATACAATGAAGATTGGAGGTACTGTATATATACATGTATATACAACAAAATAATAATTTAATTTTCTTCTTTTTATATATATAGCTTCATATGCAATGACTTATCACACTATACTACGTAATTCCTCTGATTTTATTGCTGCTTTGAAACAAGCACGTGAGCTCTCGGTTAACCTGACGCGAGAGTTAGATCATGAAGTGTTTGCTTACAGCGTCTTTTATGTGTACTACGAACAATACTTGCACATATACTGGGACATGGGTATTAACATCGGACTATCACTACGTTAGTGAGAGAGAAGAGAGAGGGACAGGGAAGGAGGGAGAGATGTAGGGGACACAAATGTGTTTTCATGTATGTTTTATTTTGCTTTTATCCTATCCTTTTTCTTTTCTACAGTTGCTGTGTTCCTAGTCACGGTCTTTATGCTTGGTTTTGATGTATGGGGTGCATTCATAATTATTTCGGTCGTTTTTATGATAATTGTTCATATGGGCGGAGTCATGGTTTATGCCGGTATCAATGCCAATGCAGTCTCGCTGGTCAACCTTGTGATGACGGTCGGTATAGCGGTCGAGTTCTGTTCGCATATTGTCCGTTGGTTCATGATGGAGAAAGGGACCAGATTAGAAAGAGCACACTCATCTCTAGCTAATATGGGCAGCTCTGTAAGTGTAATAAGAATAATAATGAATTTTATAAAAATAATATTCAGTACATGTATATGTACA